GCAGCCACTGTGGAAAACACTGTGAAGTCTCTTCAAAAAACTAAAAATGGAACTACCAAATGATTCAGCAACCCCCCTTGTAGGGATTTATCCAGGAAATGCAATCAAGATCTCAAGGAGATGTCTTAATCTCCATGTTCACTGCACCATTGTTTACAATAGCCAAGATATGCAAATGATCTAAATGTCCATCAATGAATGAATGGATAAAGAAAGTGTGGTACATACATATAATGAAATACTATCCCACCTTAAAAACGAAGGAAACACTGTCATATGTGATAACATGGATGAACCTTGAGGATATTATGGTAAGTGAAATAAGCCAGTTTCAGAAGGACCAATACTACATGATTTCACTTATATGAAGTATCCAAAAAAAAATGTCAAACTCATAGAAACAGGGCATACAATGGTGGTTTCCAGGCACTGGGTGGGAGGAGTGTGAGGCTGTTAATTAATGGGTATAAAGTTTTAGCTATACAAGTTGAATAAGTTACCTATAATCATAGCATTGTGCCTACAGTTAACAATACTGTGCTGCAGGCTAAGAGGGTAGATCTCATGTTAAGTATTCTTACCATAATAAAATGACAACTGAAATAAAAAGGTCCTTTGAGCTGCACCACACACCCCACTAAAGAAAAGAAAAAAAGGGTTACGTTTTTGGTTAAGTTTCTGTGATGGATTAAGGATGGTCTCAAATTCCTTATGGCTCCACCATGAAGAAGGGAGGTCTGCTTTTTGTTTTTATGTTTTTCTCAGTGATTCTGCAACAGGCCTGTGACTTCTTTGACTAATAAAATATGGCAGAAGTGGCACTGGACCAGCTTTCCAGACGGCCTTTGAGAGACCTGGCAGCTTCTGCTTCCTCTCTTGAAATACTTATTCTCAAAGCCCTGAGCAAGTAAGAAATCGGACGGCCTGCTGGACAGACCAAGTGCAGAAGCCGTGCAGAAAGGGGGAGAACTCAGACTACACAGCACGGCGGCCCTGCATCTCTATCATCCCGACTGAAACCAGCCTTCCATTCCTACCCTCCCGGGACACCAGCCCCGTGAGGGACCCATTGTGAATATCCCTACCCGCCGGAGCCCCCAGACGGCTCCCACCCTCGCTGATAGCATGTGGGACAGAAGATGCACCCGGGTGAGCCCCCTCAGCCTCAGAGTCACAAGAGGTCAGTAAATGGATACAGCTTTAAGCAACTGAGTTTTAGGGTAGTTTGCCATGCAGCAAAAAATATCCATGGTACCCTTATATACCCTCAAATTTATAATTATTCCATTCATTCAACAAGGAGCCCAGTGTGGGCTCCTGGCTGGCTATTTCTGTCCAGTTGGAAAAGAAACATCAAACACGTAAGAACCTATCAATTCACATACGATATAATGCAACTAGAATGAGGTGCGTGGTTTGATGAGAAGGGCTGGGTCCACGCGTGGCAGTCAAGGCGGTGAGGATTAAACCGAGCTGGAACGAGGTGGGGGGAGGTAACCCGGCGTGGAAGCAGCAAGCAGCTGTGGGAAGGCGCTGTAGAACGACAGGGCACGGCACACCGGGGGCTAGGAGACGGCCACTGCGGGGGAGACTCAGCACACTGGGGGGTACACGGTCAGCTGAGGCCAGAGTCAAAGACAGAGGCCAGAACTAACGTAACAAACATGTGAGCAGGCCCTGTTTGTTGGCCTTGCCGTCTTGCTACCTAGAACCTTTTACTTCTCACTACCTAGCAGAGTCGATATTCAATAAATGCTAGACGCTCCCAGGAAAGAAGGAAAAGAGAAAGGGAAGGAGACAGTGAGTTGTTCTTCCCTCCTGCACACCCTGCTTACACAGGACTATGCTCTCATTCAGTGGTTCCCAAAATCGGCTGCTTTTTAAAATAATCTTGGATTTAAAAAAAAAATCCTCATCCCCAAGCTGGAGCCCATACCCAAATTGAACCGCACACCTGATGAATTAGAATCTCCTGGATGGGACCAGACATCCCAGGTATTCCAACGTGCAGCCAAGTTTGCACCAAGGGGTGGTGTTCCCATCAGCCCATGGTCCTGTGTGGCCAGGTGGGGGATGGTTGTGCCCTGACTAATTTTCTACACAGACCTTGCAGTTTTAAGGGTCAGGAAATTAATCTAGGTCCTAATGCAACACGACGTTGGTAAGAAATGGGGAATAACAGACCAGCACTAAGTATCACTAGTTATTACTGAGAATCTGACATCTAATTTAAAAATTATGTCCCCATGCCTCCGTATAAATGAATTATGTAAGCAGACTATGTAGGGGCTATTTACTGAAACATTCACACAGTGGAAAATATTGAATAAAAATGCCAGAAAAAAATGAGCAAATCTAGTTAAATGATTACTATATCATGGACTGTTTGATGAAAAAATATTTTTGATCACAGATCTCAGCACCAGCCCGGCACAAAAATGTAATTTGTGTTCCAACTGATGGCTGCAGATAAATTACAAATTAGTAATGCTGGTTCAGTAACTCAGTAACAATTGTGGAAAATGCCCACACACGGTCATACTATTTTCAGTAGTTCACAAAAGATAGTTTTGATGCATATGCCAAGCAATCGTCATCTTTCTCACTCCTTACTGTTGCCTATTCTGAGGTGTCCTATGAAAAGCCATTCTGTCTAACTTCACTAACGTCATGAGGGATGTTTTCATGGAGGATCTGAAATCTAAGAATTTCTCAGCATTTGCCGATGTAGAAATGGATGCTCTGAAGACATGAAAGTGTCTGTCATCTAAAAATAAAATATAACATCACTTTATAGATAATATACCTGTAATATTAGCTCTCTCTTCTATTTTGAGGCCCTGTATTCTAACAAAGAGACCTTTTCATAGAAGGAATGTGGCTGCTGCTTAGAGCTCCAGCACCCCTGGCAAGACAGGCCCTTGACCTTGGCTCATAGACTACACCTTCATTTTCCCTTAATACTGGAAGCCATGTTTCCTGCATGGTGCTTATATAGAACCATTTATCTTCAAATCTGTGTACATTTTAACCTTGAAGTTGTGTCCAATTCCTTGCTACTGACTAGATGTATGCCTATATTCCTCCTCTTGTGTGTCATGAGTTGAAAAGCAGACACTTCCACCACGTGGCCTGCAGTGCCAGCACCTTCCCTGATTACTGGACTCTCCCCAGCATCGTAGTGATGCCCCCTCTCTCCACGTGATCATCACTGTGACCTCCGAGCAGGGGCTATTCCCATGCCACAGCACTGGCTAGGTGCTGACCTGCACTGTTAATTACTTATGACACATCTGTGAGACTGACACTATTATTCTGATTCTAAAAGTGAGGAGATGGACACACAAGGATTCTCACTGACTTGACCAATTCCCTGAGCCAGAAAAGAGCGCAAATATGATGAACCAGAACTCCTAACCATAAGCCCAGGGTTGTTTAACTGCATTCCAAATGGAGGGGATCTGATTTTACTCAGTTAAGAAGACACTGTCTCTAACATTCATTCTAATGGGTTAAATATACGGTTTTGAAAGCCCCCACCACTTGGAACGATGTCATAAATCCCATTCTCATTTCTAGATAGTTTATGTCTTTATCTTAAAAAGAAGTGTGAAACTTCAAACCAAAAATGGACTGCCTTTTTTCCCCTGCTATTCCATTGCTGCTTTATGACAATATTTTTTCTGTAAATTTTCTGAATCGGCTTTTTGTTGGACATTACTAACTCCCTAAAATTATGGACTCAGAAGTCAGGCAGACCAAATTCAAGTTTTGCTGCATCCTGCCTGAGTGACCTCAGTCAAGCTCGTTCACCTCTTGGTGTCTCAATTTTCTCATTTGTAAAACAGTGCTTAAAATAAAGCCCGGAGGCCAGTTTATTGGATGGCAAAGAGAACTAGGTAAGATCATGCATATAAAGAACTTAGCACAGTGCTCCAGAAATATTCATGCTGACAACAGTGACAGTAACACTTAGAGGGACTGACCTTTCATTGGATGGGCTTTGTCTGGGTCAATCTGTTGTCCGTAAATTGACCTAACACTTTATCTGACTAATTGTACCCCAAAGAGTGTCACACTACAATTACAGCCTCAGTTTCCCCCTCTCTCTCTCCTTCCCTCCCTCTCCCTCCTTCCCCCCTCTCAGGTACTAAGCCGTGTTATTACCCAGCAGTACAAAGGTTAGCCGACTCTGAAATGAATGAGCCTAAGTGGCATTTTCTTTGTCAGCTTCCACTTTGGTAGATGAATCTCAGAAGAGGATTCTTTACAGCCCCTAACCTTTGATCAGGGGCTAGAGCAAAATGAAAACACAGGGCTCTGTGCTCAAAAAACAGGGAAAAAGTAATGCTAAAGATACTACATTATAAAATGTTTTCCTCTCCTCTGCAGTCAGTCCCCCTCTCCCTCCTGCTTTCCCTAGAGCAAGAACCACGCTCTTCCCCTCTTTGGATCTACCACTGCCAGGACGGTGCATAAAAGCAGCTGATTAAATGAGGCATGATGGATAAATAACGACATCCCTGAATCTGCGATCTCTCCGTTTCCAGGCCCCCACCTTCAGCTGACAGCATCCTTCCCTCTCACGTCATTAGTAGTTCCCAACCCGGTTGCCCTTTTTTCTAACTTGTTCTCACCTCAGCCCATACCGCCCCACTGCCTAACAGAACTTTCTGAAACATACGTTCTGTTTGTATTAACACTATTAAAAACTCTTTGTGGCAAGCCATCAGTTCCCCTAAAAATTACACCCTCCCTATAAAAGCTGTTACTACACTGCTTTTGCAGCAATAATATGCATTTGGTTTGTCTGCTTCTTTGTGTTTATTTACTTATAGATTTGAACTTGTCACTCTTTTTGGAACATTATCTGGGTGCCAACTCCTCCCCTGTTTGATTCCGCTTACCCAACTGATACAATTATTTTATTTTACAGTATAGTTTTCATGAACTTTTCTACCTCTCATTTCAGTTGAGATGTCCCCTCCCGCGTGTACCCGGTACCACTGCTTGTGCTTTCATCTTACACATCACGCAAGCACACAAGGTGAAGGACTGTCTCCTCCACCAGCCTTGTAAGCTTCACAGGGGAAAGCCGAACCTAGTGCCTTTCATCGCCATCTCCCCAAAGTCCAGCAACATGCCCAGCACTTAACAGAAACCCCGTACATGAATTTATAAATGGATAAATGGACAAACAGATGATTAAATACTACTGAGGATGTTAAAGACAATTTGTATTTCACATTCTTAGCAGGCCTCTCAGAAAAATTCTAATCCTGCCCAAAGATCACTTCCTAGAAGAGATTTAGGAAAAGAAGGAGGGAGGGGAGTTGGAACCACAGGCTTTCCATACAGTCAAAAACCTCCCTCGCTTGCAACTCTTCGGGTCACTCAGCTGTGGGTTAGCTCCTGGCAATGCCCACCCCAGTACGTGGCAGGGCCGGAGATGTCTAAGGCCAATGCAATTCATGGGGAAGCTGTCTTCAGGGCCGAACGACTTATAACGTACAGTGTATGGCTGTCTTGATACATACTTTTGACACAGATTTGATTAGTGTTTCTTTTGCCCTTGTGATAAGTAAATTTGTGTCAGACATAAAGCTGCCTGATTTCTTCTTGTTCTAGGTAAGTATGTCCTTGGGGATTTCACATCTCAGGGTGTGGCTCAACACCACACATGGAAGTAAGAAAAATGAGAGGAAGAATGGGAGGCAACCAAATTCTTCCCAACGATAATAACAATAATGGTAGGAGAGGCAGCAGGGGCATTCGGAGGAGCAGCTTGCATTTTTCAAGTATATACTATATGCTATTCCCTTTGCGAAATGCTTTATGTAAATTATCTTATTTAGTTTTCAAACATCCTTACTTTTGTAAGGATATTCTATTTTGTAAGGTGTTCTATTATTTTCCCCACTTTGTAGGTAAGTAAAGAGGTTAGCGAGATTAAGACGCCACCAGCTAAGCAGATGACTCCATATGGCTAATAGAGACACAAACTGCGATCTCTCTGCTGGGACATAAGGCCGACAGCTCAGCGTTGATGGAGAGTAACGGCTCTCGATTTGGACTGATTTTTATCTAGGACATGCAGTTCCATTTTTAGCAAAGAATCACCTCATTTGCTTCATCTTCTTTGGAAGCCTGCAGACAAGGTAAGGAAATACCATTTCATACTGACTTTCTTTTCAAAAGTTGGCTCCATCAGGCTCTGTTCTTGGCACTCCAAATTGGACAGAAAACCATACCATTTTATGCAAGCAGAACACTGAATGTGTTTACAAATAACTGTCT